GTGTCTGTCGTTCTATCGCTCCTTCTGTCTGTCGTTCTATCGTTCCCTCTGACTGTCTCGTCGTGTCCGAGTGTCTGTCTGACTGTCTCGTCGTGTCCGACTGTCTCATTCCGTCATCCCTTCTGACCATCTCATTGTCCCAAATTCTGTTTGACTGTACCATTGTTTGACCGTCTCATTGTGTCTCTGCCATTGTCTGACTGCCTTCCTGTTTCTTTGTCTAGGTGTCAGTACAGTACATATATCTGATTGTCTACATATGTCTGACTTATTGTCTCCTCGTACCTGTCTGTCTGTGCCAGCGTAACGGATCTTATCCTTGTCTCTCTGCTCCAGACCGAGTACAGAGTAACTATCTATCTCACGGTGTCCAACTGAGTCTGCGTAACGCTGCCAAGTTCTATTATTGCGCCTGCCTGTCTCTCTGTGTATTCGTACCACGTTGAGTCTCTGGAATGTGTGCCTGTGGGTCTCACTTGCTGTGTGTAACGCTGCGTCGCAGTATAGTGGTAAGCGCACTGCGCTCGGAACGTGGCGACCTGAGTTCGATTCTTCGCTCACGGCTAACGTCAGTGTCGAATGCCTAACCCGGTCCAGGCCTGGGTCCTCCTCCTCACAGCTCGACTCACGCTCTGAGCGGTGTGTGAGGATCAGCATTGGGGAGAGACAAAGGCGTCCGGGTATGGTTTAACCCACACTACCTCCTCGTCGTGAGCGATGCTATCCTTCCTAAGTGCTCGCGAACAGCCCTTGTCCCAACATCCTGTGCAGGCTACACGGGGCATCTTTGTCTTCCGTACGTCCCGCAGGCTCGGGTGACCTCTGGGCGCACTGCACGAATGGTGAATTATTCCACGCTTATTTTTCAAATAATCTAAATAAAAGAGCTCGGCTCATTCTGAATCAAACAACCTTCCACGTATCGTATTTTTCACGAGGTCGTTCCGATCGCGCCTGGGATTGTAGTTTGCGACGTGAATTTGCTGATTTTGACTTCAATCCCATTCGTTAATTTTTTTCTCCAAACTTTAATTTCATCCGCAAAAAAAGTTATACTTCTTTAGGAAGGGTTTTGAAGGTCGTATGATTTTAGTATTTCTCCTATCGATTTTATTCAAGAACTTTAATAGAATAAACGGCACTGATTGAAATTTCAAAAGCAGATTGAGTGGCGCTGAAAGCCCAGGCGCTTGGCGCTATTGGCTGAACCTCGAGCCCGCTGGGTCAGGAGTGACCCGAACCCCGACTCGAACCCAGCCCCTGACCCTGCCACTAATTCTGACACTAGCCCGAACCCTACACAACAATTGTAGGTAGGCCGGGTCAGTGTTTTCGCCTAGCCCTGACCTTTATCCTGACAATAAAACACTTGACCCTAACCTCAACCGTAACTCGGAGCCGGTGGGAGAGAAAGTGCGTTTTGTGTGTGTGTGGAACATTAAGACTGGATAGTACCGGGGAAACAAAGGCGGCGGGGCGTGGCGCTGGTCACATCACCCCTTCATACCGCGCTGCAGCCTCCATGCGTGCTCGCTGGCAGCACTTGACTCGACAGCCTGTCTAGGCTACACGGGGGATCTGTGTCTGTATCTGTGTGTGCGTTTGTGCGCGCGCACTTTCACGTGTGTGCGTGTGGAGACGGAGGTGTGCCATGCCGGCCTTCATAGTGCTCGCTAACAGCACTTGTCCGAACGGCCTGTGAAAGGCTATACGGGGGGGATCTTTCTACTTGTCGTGTTTGTATTCGTGGCTCGTTCAACTGGGAGCTGCGCTGGGTGGAGAGGGGAGCGGTGGAGGGCGCGGGCGGAGGAGGAGTCGGGGGGGGGGGTCTATGTGAACACAGAGCAGGTGACACAACCAGGTAAGTTCTCGGGGGGCGAGTGGGGGGGATTGAAAGGGGAGAGTGTGGAGGCGGAAGCCGCCTGTGACCTCAGTCTCATGAATCAGCTGAGCTCCGCGCGTGTTTACCCCGGCCCCCCAGTCGTCACCCCCCCCCCCCCCCCCCCCCCCAGGCGTCCTTGTCGCGCGGAGCAGTTTGCGAAACTCGGTCCAGCCGAGGTCGCTGCGCTTCGTCCCCACGCGCAGTGTTGACTCAGCGCGCGGCTACAGCGGCTGCGCGGAATGCGACCACGGCAGACGACCTCCCCGCAGTCGCCACCACCACGAGCAGCAGCAGCAGCAGCAGTGTCAGCAGCCACAGCTGCTCGTCATCGGCAAGTAGCAGCATGAGACGTCGTCATTGTCAGCAAGTAGCAGCAACGGGAGGCATCATCATCGTCATCGGCAGCAATAATAGCCATCAGCAAGCGGGAGCAGTCGGTATCAGCGTCTTCTTCATCAACATCAGCAGCAGCGATGAATAGAAACGGGAATCATTATCGACCCGTTTGTCATCATCAGCAGCGCAAATAAACATTCATCATTATCATCCTTTATTGTGTCATCACCATCAGGTTACATCGTAATCACGATCATTTCCATTGCTACCACTTAAACCACGAATCCTGTGTCATATAACTACACAGACCAGCATGCGACCTATAGACCAACATCGAATGCGTACTCACACAGGGCCCATAGATTAACATGGGCCACACAGAGTGTTTGTTGTGGTAGTTGCTATTCTGGGGGGGGGGGAGTGGTAGCGCAGTGGTCACCGCACTGCGCCATGAACTCAGCGACCCAAGTGCGAATCGCGGGCGATGGGTGACTTCAGCAGCGAGTGAAATCTGGACCGGCACTGGGCACCTCCTTCACAAAGAAACACTTCACCGGCGCGACGAAGCACGCTCAAATAAGCCCATGGTTTGATATGTAAACTCCTTTGTCAAGGCGCTTTACTTCTCTCACCTAGCTTAAAAGACGCTGCGAATCCTAGCAGCGTTCATTGAAGCACTGTCGTCCCGACAGTTCTGTTCCTTCACCTGAAGAAGGCTACTTGTGTTGTGGCCGAAACGTCGTGAGAATTGTATTTTATTATGTTTTATTTTTATTATTTTATTTCCATTCTGCGTGACTTTACCGAAAGAACCAAGAAGATGAAGCCTATGGCCGCCAAGGCGTTGGGAGGCCTTCTAGCAGCAGTATATAGGCACATGACGACGTGATTATTATTATTGTTGTTGTGTTTATTGTGGGGAGTGGTGACGCCGTGATGAGCGCACCGCCCTGCGATCCCGGCGACGCGAATTTGATTCTGGCTCACGGCCAATAACAGTGGCGAATATCCGAACCGGTTGTGGACCTCCTCTACATCGACTCGGCCTTAAATGAGCACCTGGTGCGGTGTGTGCAAACAACAGCACTGGGGAAACAAAGGCGGCCGGGCGTGGTGCTGGCCACCCACTCTCCCTTGTGTGTGCCGCCGTTCTGGCTTTCTTCATCGGTGCTCGCTGACAGCACTCGCCCCAACAGTCTGTTAGAGGCTATACGGAGCATCTTTGTCTTTGCGTTTATAGCGTACGAATCGATACGATTCGTGCTTGAGTGCGGAGTGAGAGCCAAAGGAAAAATGTCGAGGCTGCCTTTGATCGGTTTCCCTTGTGAAGGGTGGGGTATGCGAATTGTCATTGTTACGCGCACTCTGCGCCGTGAACCATGCCCGCCCGAGTTACATTCCCGAGTCACGGCTCACGTGACCGTTGGCGAGTGATATCCGAACCAGTGCTGGGCCGCACATTATAGGTCGACTCAGCCTCAGGTGAGTCACCTGGTGCCAAGTGTCAACATCGGCACTGGGGAGACGAATGAGGGCCGCGTGTGCGTGGTTGCTGCCGCTAGTCGGCAATGCTCCCTGTTCGTGGTGAAGTATGGTCAAACAACCGTCGTGGACGACTCGGTTTGGGGAGTAATTACGATGACAGTAGGTTGAGAGGCTGTCTAAACGTCTCGATGTAGTTTTTGGGGTTGGGTTTTTTGCTCTACAATCTAACAATGAAGCTCGGATCGATGAAGCAATTGCAGATATTTAAAAAAATGTTGGATTATTAAAAATATTTGACCATCACGGGAAATCCCAAGTCTTCTGCTACGTCGCCGAAAGTACGTCGGTATGTTGAACTTCTTTCGCACCGTACGTATCCAACCGTGCTCATCGGACGTGCGACGTCCTCATGCCAGAACCTTTCTCAAGATTCTCCTTAAATCTATAACATTCACTCACGACCCTGACCCCCACTCAACCATCCACCCACTTCCAGATCCCTCGCGTCCCAAACCCCCCTGGGACATCACGGCCCGCAGGTGTTGAGAAGTCGCTCCGAACCGTAGGGAGCCCTGTGCATAGGAGGTGGTTGATGGTGGTTGATGGTGGCTGGGTGGTGCTGGGGCTTGGTTCGTGTCATGGCCTTGTCTGGGACGCGGCGCTTTTCATCTGGGCTTTAAATCCGGCTTCCAGCCCGCCCGCGATTAAAGCGGGGTTTCGGGTATGACGAGTTGAAGGTCTCATCCCCGCCACAATGCGGAAACACCCAGGATATGCAATTTGGACCGTGATTTATTTATGATTTTTTTGTTACCTCTAATGGCTAAAGATATATATTTTTTTAAATTGTGTTTGATGCTCGCGTGGTGATGAACACTGTTTTCAGGCATGTGAGGGAGTGCAACGGCAGTCACTCCCTAGTGTGGGTTGAAGGATCTGTCATGTGATGTCATCTTTCGGAGGCCGTTCTCTAACACGGAGTGATGTTTCGTTACTCAACGCCAAAGTTCCCAGTTAATTTCGGTCTCAGCTTATGATAATTCTTTTTTTAGACGTCTAAAGAAATACATGCACAATATATGTATATATGGTATTGGCTTCTTCCAGGCTCCGTTCATTGAATGACCCGAGACCGAACTCCCCCTCTTGGGAAGGAATTAATAGTAGGGTCCAGGGCGTCCACGCTCTGTGCAGATCCCGGAACGGTGCACGTCTCCATGGTGCGGGGGGGGGGGCGCGGTGCGGGTGAGTGACAGTAAACTTTGACCTCCAGACAGATCTCTCGCCACGCAGATGATTTTATAGCACAGGAAAATTATCTTTATTTAATAGTTTTTATTATTATTCCACTGTAAACGCAATCCTTGCAAAATAAGAACGAACAAAAATAATTAAAAATATGACGTTTTTTTAATTATCTTCAACATTATTAATATTACAATAAGTATTTCTCTGCTTCCCATTTTTTTTGTAATTTTCTGTATATCGTCTATAACAAAATATACCGTACCGCTTACGTAGAGAGACCAGAATGAACGCAGCACTAACGACGGCAGACGCGACAAGGGCTGTTTACATGACGCTAACATTCATTCGCGATACAACTGTGATGCCCCCCCCCCAAAACCCACCCCCGCCCCGCCCCCGCGCGCGCGCGCTCTCTGGGTGTCGCCACGCGCGCGCCCGCCACTACCTCGCATGCCCGGCGGTAAGTGGCCCCGCGTCCTCGGCGCGGGAACGTCCAAAACACAGCATGCACGAGTCGCGCGCAGGCACGGTGCGCCGAGACGTTACCTGCGGCGGCACTACCCCCGCTCGCCCCCCCCCCTTTACCCCCCTATCCCCCCCTCGTCAGAGTTCGCGATGCTCGGCGCCACAAAAGAGTGTCCCGAGTCAATTTCCGGTCTTTTATTTTTGTCCTCGAGTCTTTTGTTGTTGCTTCTCATCGTCTCTGTCTCTCCCTCTCTCGGCGTCTTCTCGTTGTGTATCGGCTCCGGTTAATCCGAATTCATTGCTGGCTCGTGGCGTGGTGGTGGTGGGGGTGGTGGTGGTGAGTTTCCTCCGCGCGTGACGTGGGCCTCAGAGGGGGGAGGAGGAGGGAGGCCGTCGACAAAGGCGATGACTGTGGCCCTGTCGTCGTGAACCGTTCCTCCGCCACCAATCACCGTGTCCCCGAGGCGCGCGATCTCCCCGTCTGAGTCGCGTGTAATTATCATTATTTATAAATTGATCATCGTCATTTCGAGATTGATCACCCTTACGAAGCTGTCGTTATTGTCGTCAGTCATCCTTAATAATTTTCCATATTGCTCAGCGTGTTGTTGTTGTTTGTTTGTCCTGGTCGCCGTTGTTGTTTGTGATTTAAACGTCGCTTTTCTTCTCCAACGTGGCTCGCCTAATCGGATTGGCGCTTTTGAAGAAATTAAACGGAGAACCGACACCCAACAACAACACAAACAATAATCGTTCGCCGTTTCTGTTGCAGGTCCTTCGCTTCGGGACCGTGCGGCCAACCCTGGCGGTTGGGGCCTTCCCCCGGGCCTCCCTCGGCCGTCCACAGCGCTGCAAAGTGCTTCACCCATGCTCGGCCGCCAGTCCTCGTCGTGTGTCTGCGTGCGGGGATGGGGAGGGGGCATGGGGGGAGGGGGCATGGGGGAGGGGGCTCCTCACCCCTCAACAGGACCCCCCCCCCCTGTCCTGCACCACCCCGTGAACATCAGGGTCCTTTACTGGCTCAGAGCCAGAGTTGTGCCATCGAGGAGTTTCGTCTTCTCCACGCGAGTGGCTCCAGCTGGAGACACGTCCACATTCAGGTGGAGACACCGCGGGGAGGAACGGGGAGGCGGGGCGAGGGGGGTGGCCTGCTCCCCCACTTAGGGAAGGGTGGGGAGGCGGTTCCGAGGTACCTCTGAAGTGCTCTGTTTAGGGTGGGCGACGCGCCGTGCCTGGGCAGTTTGGATGTCGTGTCGTGTTGTGCCTCTGCTGTGTGTTGCGTGGTTATCACCGCACGGTGTGTGCGTGCTGCGACGTGTTGTGATCCCGTGCAGTGTTACAGTGCTGTCGTCACAATGCGGTGTGCGGTGTGGCGCGATGCGGTTCGGCACGGTAATTCTAGTGCGACGCGAGTGTGCGGTGGTCGCGCGGAGTGCGAGTTCGTTGTCACGCTGTGCGTGGCGTGCAGCAGCGTGAAGACGCTGCTGCTGCTGCTGCGGTGCTGAGACCACAAACACAAAATGCATGCCCACATTATCCCACCCCCCATCCCGTCTCACTAATGGTACCCCACGAGAACCTGCGTCATCGCCGCAGTTCCGGCGGCCTCCGTAGACTTCCAACTATAAAACAGTGAATGTACACGGACTGTACACACATATATACAGCGTACGAGTGATCCTCCACAACCGCCCCACGCGTGGCGCCGCGTCTCGTGGCCGTCACCGCCACCCGCGCCTCGCTGCAGAGTCCACGCGGGCGGAGCCTCCTTAATTGGACTCAGTTCGTCCTCTTTCAGCAGTAGTAGTTGCAGCAGTAGTCGTGCTGGTTGTTGGTGGTTGTGGTGGTTGCTGGTCGATGCCGTGGCTGGTGTTTTGTTTTTCAAAGGCGCTTTGTTGTCGAGCCACACAGGAGGACGCCCCCCCCACCTCCCGCAGCAGGCAAAGATAGAGGGCTCTTAAAGGCACGCGGCCACAGCAGGGGGCAGGCGGGGTTTCCACTGCTCTCCCGAAACTGGGCAGCGTGGGGGCGAGGGCAGCACACGTAGCTCGGCTTTAAGCGCTGGAGGGGGGCAAGGCGGTGTTCGGCTGAAACAACTCCCGTGGTCGAGATGCCGCCGTCGCTGCTGTTGCCGTGGTGGTGGTGTTGTGGTTATTGTTGTAGTAGTTGTAGTGTTGTTGGTGTTCTAGTTACTGGTATTCTTTCCTGTACTCGCCTCTCCCGTGGCTCCGTGTGATGATGATGACGATGTATGTGAACATCTGTTTGTCTTCATCGCCATGATCACCACCATCAACGTCTTCCACGTCGATAAGTGTTTGTGTCTTTAGTCTTTTATTTAAATCTTATTTTCGGTATATTTTGTTTTGTTTTCTTATTTTATACAAAAAAAGTATCAGTCTTGAGTGCGGGGAGGTGAGTTTGCTGGGTTGGTACTAGGCTGGAATTCACATCTCGCATCGGCGTTTGCCGAGAAGGGGCGACGTCTCCACCCCCCTCCATCCCCTCCCTCCCCCCAAGAGGCGTCGGCCCTCGCTCGATGACGCTCGATGGTGGTTCTCTGTTGGCGTTCCATGACGGGGACGCCGTGCCGGGGTTGGGGGGCCTTGGGTGGCGGTGGGGGCTGGGCACGGCGGTCTAGTGCTCGAACAGCACGCTCTGTGGTGGGGGAGGGGGGGCAGAAGGAGTGGGGCGCGGTTATTGTCGTGTCAATCATCCGCTGCACACGATATGCTATGCATGTACACGATAGCCACGTACGTTGTACGTGCATGCATAACGCTACACATGTACAAACAGGTAAGTTACAACAAGGCATGCAAATAAAAGTTAACTATGGAAAATGTTACTAAAAGTGAATAAAGTATATAAGGACAAATTGCATACGTCCATACAGCCGCGTTTTCAACAGTCCATGCAAGCCAAGGGGCAAGGCAGCTAAACAAGAATACAAGCAGTCGTAGGCCACACTAAGCAACACACAATAGTAGCCCCTTCATAAAAAAACTGCATATTATAGAAACATATCCCACACCTTGCAATCTCGAGACTATGCACACGCTCACTCCGCCAGCCATCCTTCTCAAACCCTCGAGGCTAAACTTTTCCTGATTATTCAAGTTCATAACACAACTATCTACGTATGGAAAAGTCGGTGTGTGTGGTATGTACTGCGGGGTATGTGGGGAGCGGTGGTGTAGTGGTTAGCGCGCTTCGCTACGAAAGCCGGCGACCCGAGTTCGATTCCCGCTCGCGACCGATAGCAGTGGAGAATATTTTAACCGGTCACGGGCCTCCCCTAGGTTGACCTGTTGCGGTGTGTAAACATGAGGGGAGACAAAGGTAGCCGGGGCATGGTGCTGGCCACCCACACACAACGTGTACCGTTACGGCCTTCACACAACGGTACATGCCCCAACAGTCCGTTAGGGCGACACGCGAAGTGTTTGTCTTTGGTGTCAGTGAGACTGCGTGTCCGTGTGTAACTCTGTGCGTGTCCGTGTGTAACTCTGTGCGTGTCAGTGAGACTGCCTCGGGCAAAAAAGACACGGGATCTCAACTCAGGTTTCAAGCCAACCAGCGGTGTCCGGGCCAAGACAGAGCCCGCACATCCACAGCCCATCATGCACGCACCAACCTCACACCCATCACACACGCACCAACCTCACACCCATCACACACGCACCAACATACCCTCACACCAATCACGTACACACACACAGACACACACCATCAACATGCGCTCATACTCACGTGGTCGGACATGCGTACACACCAATACTCGCGCAACACTCAAGATACAAACTCACATGTCCAGCAAGCAGCACGCACAAACAACAAACACATATCCCCCGTATAGCCTTAGCAGACTGTTGGGGCAAGTGCTGTTTGCGAGTAGCGCCTATAAAGGCCGCGACGGGACACGAGGGGGTGGGTGGCCAGCACCACGACGGACCACCTTTGTTCCCTGGTGGCGATGTTTACACGTCGCCACCAGGTACTCATTTGAGGCTGAGTCGACCTCGGTGAGGCCCAGGATCGGTTCTGATATTCGCCACTGGTGCTGGCAGTGCGCGCCCAACTTGGCCAGCCTGGCCAGGCTGGCCAAGTTGGGTTGGCAGCTCAACGCGCTAACCACTCCGCCACCGCCCCCCGCACACACAAACACACACGCGGGCACGCGCACACGCGCGCAGCAACAAAGCGGCGCCAACAAAGGAGAGGCGCAGGCGCCTTTCCGCGATCGCGGCGGGCGGCGCTTGCGTAACGCCCAGCGAGGAGGGGATTAGAGGTAACGACCCCACCAGGGTCGCCGAGCTCGGCTTTTAGCGGCTCCTGAAGCATAACCAAACTTAAGCCGCGCGCCGGCGCGCCGCCGCCACCACCACCACCCCGCCCCTGGCTCGCACTCACCACCACCACCACCACCCCCCACAGCATTCTCCCTCCCAGACACACACACACCCTCCCTCCCGCACACACCCTCCCTCCCGCACACACACCCTCCCTCCCGCACACACACACCCTCCCTCCCGCACACACACACACACCCTCCCTCCCTCCGCCACCCCCCACGCCGCGCGGCCCCACCACGCGTGACGGAAGCCCGGGCTCCGCGCCACCCGACGTCGCGGCTCAAGCTCCACGCGCACCCCCCCAGCCCGGCCCCCCCGCCTCGCCTTGACTCACCGCGCCCGGCAGCCGCCCCGCATCACTCAACTGCTGCCATCTCCCCTCCACCGCTCTCACCGGCCCCCACTGCCCCCCCCACACCCCCCACCGGCCGAGCCGGTCTTGCAGGGCCACGCGTCACGCATGCGCGCCTCTCTCCTCTCTCTCCTCTCTCTCTTTTCTCTCTCTCCTCTCTCTCTCTTTTTTCTCTCCTCTCTCTCTCTCGACCCCCCCCCACTCCACTCGCTCTCAAAAAAAGAGTGTAAAATTAATATTTTCACAAGGATTGCGAAAAGCGCACTACGGAATAAAAACAGGAAAGAACGAAGGGCGCCAGGGGAGCGAACGGGCGTTGTGGGGGGGGGGGGAAAGGAAACTGAGCGGATCTTAAAAAAAAACCGCGACGCTTTCCACCCTTCTCGCCCCCCCCCGCTTCACCCCAACGTTTACCCCTCCCCCCCTACCCCCCTACCCCCCACCGGCCGCGACTCCACGCCGTCCGCACGGCGTCACGGGGAGGTCGCGGGTTCCAGGCGTCAGATCAAATAAAAGACGCCTCACCTGGAATTTACAACAGCCCCTGCCTTTGCGCATGAGTGCCGTTGCGTGCGGTGGCGAGTGTGCGTGTCGGGCCGGCGGGGGCGTGCGGGGTACGTGGGTTTGTTGTGGGGGAGTTGGAGGGGAGTGAGGTGGGGGGTGGAGGGGAGTGAGGTGGGGGTGCATAGGTGGGGGGGATCAAGGAGAGCGGAGCGCCCGTGCCGCGGTCCCGGCGTACGGCGCGAGACGCCAACCAGAGAATAAACGCAGCAGCTCTTCTCTCTCAGCTACAACCCCACCACGCCTCTCTCTGTGTCTCTGGGTGCCGCGCGCGTGTGGACCGACGATCTGTTCCCCCCCCCCGCCCCCCTCTATGCGCGTGCTTTAAGGTTCGTTAGTGGGACATGAACGACTTTCAAGTGACTTTCTGGAGCGCTCCAGTGACGTCAATGTAGGGGACGTCGTGTTAAAAAAAATGTATGGGGGTAGTGGCGTCACTTTGACCGCGCATCAAAGTTTCCTTTTATTGTTTGATTAAAGCGGCTTACAAGTTGCGCCTGCCAGCTCGGGATCGCCAGTCTGCCCGTGGGTGGAAACTGGGGTGGGGGTCTAACGATGCTGCCCCACCCTCTACTCGTTATCATCGAATTAATTGGCCGATAACACTTTACTATGTAGAGGACCACAGAGCTTGGGTAATTGTTGGTATCGCCGCCGGCTCATCACCGCATGGATGCTGCTGCCCTTACAGCTCCTCACCTGTGGTCCCCTCCTAGCACCTCTGAGTCGTCCCCTCTCTCTGAGTCATCCTCTCTCTCTGAGTCGTCCTCTCTCTCTCTGAGTCGTCCTCTCTCACTCTCTCTGAGTCGTCCTCTCTCTCTGAGTCGTCCCCTCTCTCTCTGAGTCGTCCTCTCTCTCTCTGAGTCGTCCTCTCTCACTCTCTCTGAGTCGTCCTCTCTCTCTGAGTCGTCCTCTCTCTCTCTGAGTCGTCCTCTCTCACTCTCTCTGAGTCGTCCTCTCTCTCTGAGTCGTCCTCGCTCTCTCTCTCTCTCTGAGTCATCCTCGCTCTCTCACTCTCTCTGAGTCATCCTCTCTCACTCTCGGAGTCGTCCTTGCTCTCTCTCTCTCTCTGAGTCGTCCTCTCTCTCCCAACAACGAGCGAATACTGTTTGACGTCGGTTCGGCGTTCCAAAGTCTAATCATACGAACTATTAACATTTAAACGCGTTTTAATTACCAATCATAGATCCTTGTTCACATTGCGGTTAATATATCGCGAGCTTAGGAATATAAATGAATTCACCGCTTCGTTACGCCGCTGCGAGCTACGGGGTTTGGAGGCGCGTTGGTTGCGGGAAGCCCACGGAACATCATCAGCGCCCCGGGGCAGAGACGAATGATCTCCCCTGTCCCCTGTCCCCTGGAACCGTTGCCAGTTCTCCCGCTCCCCTCCACAAGACGAACCCCTCGACCCTCGTCACCCCCCGCCCGACGTGGCGACTCAAGCCCGCGGGGAGAGAGAGGAGACATCGCGTGTCACGACCCCGGCGTCGCTCCTCGGCTGGGCAGAGTTAGGAGATAGTTAGTGGTGAGCTAGTTAACTAGTTTATAATCAGGAGCAACTTGATTATGAACTAGTATAGTAGGAGCTGGTTAAAAGCTAGCTCGTAATCATCTTTATATGAGCTCGTTGGTAGTTGGTTAGTTAGTTCATTGTGAGTTAGTACCAAAACAGTGAGCTATTTACTAAGTTATTGAGTTAGCAGTGAGTATAGCTGGAGTGCGCTTTACCCACGCCGAGGGTAAAGCCACGCCGAGGGTAAAGCCACGAAACTCTGACTCGGGGCTCATGGAGTGGGCCAGGCACCGCGGGGAGACACGGGAGCATGCGTGTGTGTGAGTGTGTGTGTGAGTGCGTGTGAGTGCGTGTGTGTGTGAGTGCGTGTGAGTGTGTGTGCGTGTGAGTGCGTGTGAGTGTGTGAGCGTGTGTGCGTGTGAGTGTGTGTGAGTGTGTGTGCGTGTGAGTGAGTGTGTGTGAGTGCGTGTGTGTGTGAGTGCGTGTGAGTGCGTGTGTGTGAGTGTGTGTGAGTGCGTGTGAGTGTGTGTGCGTGTGAGTGCGTGTGTGTGAGTGTGAGTGCGTGTGTGTGTGTGAGTGCGTGTGAGAGTGTGTGCGTGTGAGTGCGTGTGCTATAGTGTAGTGGTTAGCGCGCTGCGCTACGAACCCAGCGACCCGAGTTCCCGCCCACGGCCAACACCAGTGACAATTATCTGAACCGGTTTTGGGCTTCCACGAGGTCGACGATGGCCCAAATGAGTTCCCGGTGCGTTGTGTGAGACAAAGGCGGTCGGGCGCGGCGCTGACTACCCACTCTGTGTACGCTGTGTGTACTTTGTGTGTGTAGGGTGTGTATAGTGTGTGTGTGTACTCTGTGTGTAGGGTGTGTGTACTCTGTTTGTGTAGGGTGTGTATAGTGTGTGTGTGTGTACTCTGTGTGTAGGGTGTGTGTACTCTGTGTGTGTAGGGTGTGTATAGTGTGTGTGTACTCTGTGTGTAGGGTGTGTGTACTCTGTGTGTGTAGGGTGTGTATAGTGTGTGTGTACTCTGTGTGTAGGGTGTGTGTACTCTGTGTGTAGGGTGTGTATAGTGTGTGTGTACTCTGTGTGTAGGGTGTGTGTACTCTGTGTGTGGAGGGTGTGTATAGTGTGTGTGTACTCTGTGTGTGGAGGGTGTGTATAGTGTGTGTGTACTCTGTGTGTAGGGTGTGTGTACTCTGTGTGTAGGGTGTGTATAGTGTGTGTGTGTACTCTGTGTGTAGGGTGTGTGTACTCTGTTTGTGTAGGGTGTGTATAGTGTGTGTGTGTACTCTGTGTGTAGGGTGTGTGTACTCTGTGTGTGTAGGGTGTGTATAGTGTGTGTGTACTCTGTGTGTAGGGTGTGTGTACTCTGTGTGTGTAGGGTGTGTATAGTGTGTGTGTACTCTGTGTGTAGGGTGTGTGTACTCTGTGTGTAGGGTGTGTATAGTGTGTGTGTACTCTGTGTGTAGGGTGTGTGTACTCTGTGTGTGGAGGGTGTGTATAGTGTGTGTGTACTCTGTGTGTGGAGGGTGTGTATAGTGTGCGTGTACTCTGTGTGTAGGGTGTGTTACTCTGTGTGTAGGGTGTGTATAGTGTATGTGTACTCTGTGTGTAGGTGTGTGTGTACTCTGTGTGTGTGTACTCTGTGTGTGTGTACGTGCGCGCGGGTATTTTATTTTCCCGCTTCGCCGCGAACTCGCCTCGCGTTCCCGTGTCCGCTCCGTCACGCGGCGGCACGAGTCGACAAAACACGGCGGCCGCTTTGTCCTCCGCGCCCATCTCCCCCCTCCCTCCCTCCCTCCGTCCCCCTCCACCACCACAAACCACAAACACCCACGCACATCCCATCACCCGCTCCATTAGCCCCGCTCCGCCTGCTTCCCCGCAGCGGAGTCGCCTCGTCATGAGGCAAACCGCGTGCATTGTGCGTGCGGTGTGTGCGTACGTGCGGTGTGTGTGTACGTGCGGTGTGTGTGTACGTGCGGTGTGTGTGTACGTGCGGTGTGTGTGTGTGTACGTGCGGTGTGTGTATACGTGCGGTGTGTGTGTGTACGTGCGGTGTGTGTGTACGTGCGGTGTGTGTGTACGTGCGGTGTGTGTGTACGTGCGGTGTGTGTGTACGTGCGGTGTGTGTGTACGTGCGGTGTGTGCGTGCATGTGGTGCGCGCGTGCGGCGCGTTCGTGTCCTCGTGTGCGCCTCGCATGGACGGGACCCCCCGGCTGGGCTGTTGGGGGCGGCTGTGGTGGGGGTGGTGGTGGTGGGGGAGGTGGTGGTGGGGGCTGCGTGTGGAGTCGTGGCGTGGGGGGGGGGTTACACCCGGGGCGGTTGGAGCCCCGCGCCCGTCACCTGCGCCTCGCTCGTTACCCGGCCACGTGCTTCCAGTTACTGCGGAACGCGGCGTGCGGGACGGCAGAGGGGGGAGGCTCGGGGGGGCTAGGGGGGGGGCATTGAAGGGCGAGGGGGGGGGTGTACGTGTGTGTGTTGTGTGTCGTGCGAGTTTGATTCCCGATCACGGACAACCTCGGTGACGATTATCAGAACCGGTTGTGGGACTCCCTTAGGTAAAGATTGAAATGTGAAAATGGTGCGCTGCGTAAATATCAGTCATTGGGAGACAAAGGCGGTCGGGCGTGGTGCTGGCCACCCACCCTCTCGTGTGCCGTGCTGGCCTTCATAGGTGCTCGCTAATCAGCACTTGCCCAACAAAGGCTACACTGGGGATCTTTGTATTGTGACTCCAGCAGTGTGTGTGGGGAGAGGGGGGGCTGTGATAACGCATGTGGTAGTGTGTTGAGAAAAAGTGACGATACGACACGCGTGTGTATCAACAATGATCTCTCAGGTGTGACGCAAACACTCTCAACGGTGACCCTAATGCTAACCAGATCCATGTAAGCCTCATCCTCACCAAAACGCGACCCTCAAGTGTGACTCTCGGGCAGGGCCTTGCTCTTTACAAACGCCTCTGACAGGAGCGCTGTGCATGCAGAATCACTCGCACGCAGCAGCAGCAGCAGCTTCTCCACTTCTGCATCTCAAGCGCACTCCATTCTCTCGTGCAATGCGACGAACGCGAAGTAAGAATTTTGGAGAGTGGGGTGAGGGAGAGACGAGGTAGGGAGATGAGCAATGAGAGAGAGGGAAAACACGGGACATGTGACGAGGAAGGAAGACAAAGGATGGGCATGGAGAGGTGGAGAAAAGAGAAGGAGAGAGATGGGGCAATAGAGAGAGGAAGAGAGGCACGCAGTGAGACAGTGACAGAGACAATATACAAGGAGAGGGGAGATGGAAGAGAAATGAGGGGGGACATTAAGAGAGAGGGAGGTGGCGGGTGGAGCGAATCAGTGAGAGGTGAACATCGAGAGGAGGCTCGGAGAGAGACATCTGGGTGACAACGAAGTGCGAGTGAGGGGGTGGGGACCAGGGAGAGGGGGAAGACATCGACAGCGGACCTGAGATAGATAGAGGAGCACGGAGATGGGAGCAGGGAGCGGGGACCAGCGGGGACCACCACCACGCACCTCCGCGAACGCCGTCGGCTTCTTCTTGAGCTCCTCGCACTTGCGCAGTTTACAGATCTGGTGGCCCGTGCGCCGGTTCTTACAGCTCCGGCACTCGCCGCAGTTGAGGCGCCGCAGGCATGGCGGGCAGATCCCGCAGCGCTTCCGCTTTTTCTTAGCGGCCGACACGGAGGAAGCGGAGCCGCCCGCCGAGTGCGGCCCAGGCCCCGCCGCGCGCTTCACGGCGCACGAGGCCCCCTCCCCGGGTCCGGCCACGAGGCCCAGCCCGCCCAGCCCGGCGCCGCCCACGACCCCCGCGGCCCCGGGCCCGGCCTCGGCGATGGCCGTGAGAGTCTCGGGCACGTTGCCCGCCAGCTGGAAGGCGCTGCCCTGGGGCAGCCCCGCGGGCGGAGGGTGCTGCTGGATGCCCCCGACCGCCGCCTGCTGCTGCTGCTGCTGCCCGGACGAGCCCTGCTTGGGCCGCGGCGCGTGCGCGTGCGGGGGCAGCGAGACGGACGGCGAGGAGCCCACTCCCGGCGAGGACATGGACGAGGCGGCGGCGGCCGCGGCCGCCGCGGCCGCGTGCACCATGGAGGGCAGCTCGAGGCGCAGCAGCATGCCCTTGGGGCCCAGCATGTCGCTGGGGGTCATGGGCAGCCCGCAGCTGAGCAGGGCGTGCGCCGCCGCGGCCGCTTTGCTGGCGTTGTCCGACTGCAGGGGCCCGTGGCCGGCGGCGGCCGCCGCGGCCGCAGCGGCCGCGGCGGCCGGAAGCAGCGCGTCGCGCGACAGGTAAGGGACCATGTGCACGAAGGACTGTCCGATGGGCACGGGCAGCATGGGGATGGGCTTGGACACCATGACCATGTGGTCGCTCATGCAGCCGCCCGCCGCCGCGCCGCCCGCTCCCGGGAAGAGCGCGTGGGGCCCCAGGTAGGCGCCGCTCGCGTGCAGCGCGGCCATGCCGCCGCCGCCGGCGAGCGCGGCCGCGTGCGCGCCGCGGGCCTTCATCAGGAAGCCGTCCCTCGCGAACGCCTCCACGGCGCACGCGTACTGCTGCTTGCCGAAGCCGAGCGCGTCGAAGGCCATCTCGGCGTAACCCAGCGCGTCGTGTTCCCGCAGCGTGGGCTTGTCCAGAGACGACTGGCTCTTGCGCTTCGAGAGGTCGTACACCTTGGTGGACTGCGCCATGGCAGGCACTGCCGCGGCGTGGACGATGACGCTGATGGCGCTTATGGTGACGGTGGCGATGGGCCGGCGACCTTGTGACGGTGGTTGGGGTTGATGGATCGGTGGAGTTTTTTCTTATTTCTTTATTCGCGTTAAGCCACGGGCGATGTGGCGGCGGGCGTGGGGCGAGCAGAGTCGACGCGAGTCCCCATGGCACGGAGTCTTGACGCGAACTTGTATCCTCAACCTACAGTGAGCGAGAGAGACAAACAGGGCCGTGAGTAGGGAGCTGGGGGTGGTGGTGGTGGTGGGGGTCGGATCGCGCCAGGGTCACATTATACAGCGGCTGCGCGGCCTCGTGCGCGCGAGGAGGTGACCTTGACTCTCCCGTGAGCGCGCGCTCGAAAACAATGGTCCCCGCGTCGCGGACACGTGGCAGCGGCGGCGGTGTGCACAAGCCGAGCCGTGCGTCCGCAACTGCTGCGTCCTTGTCGTGTCGCGTGTGGCCGCTGGTGGTGTTTGCAAGGACAGTGGTGTTTGTGCGTGCGTTTTTGAGAGTGTGTGGGTGTGTTCGCCGTGGTTCGGGCCTTAATAGGTGCTCGCTGACAGCACTTACCACAGCAGTTTGGTAAAAACCTATACGGGGGGTGGGGAGGAATCTGTGTCTTTGTTTTGTGCGTGAGTTTGAATGTCGGCGCGGTGTTTGAACGCCTCCTGTTTGCGCACGTGTCCGGTGGTGCAGTCGTTTTCGCCGATGTGCTACGAAAATCGTCACCGGTGACGATTTTCTGAACCGGTACTGGGCCTCCCCTAGGTCGACTCAGCCTCAAATGAGTACCCGGTGCGGTGTGTAAACATAGCCACTGGGGAGCCAAAGGCGGTCGGGCGTGATGCTGACAACCCGCCCCCGCGCGGGCCTTCATAAGTGCCAGCAGCACTTGCCCCAACAGTCTGTGAAGGCCCTGGGGAAGTGGGGGGTATTTGTGTGTGTGCGCGCGTCTGTTTGTGTTTGAGCAGCGTCTGTGTGTGCGTGCGGGTGCGTGTTTTTATTATCACCACCACCGCCGCCGCGCCTTTCATAAAGCCTCGCTCAGAGCGCCTCGCCCCAGCTGGGCCGAGAGGTCTGACCCCGCCGACTCCTCCCGCCACGGGGAAATTACGCAATTTACCCCGGGCCGATTGAATGCCTTGCGCGCTGAGGGGGTGCGCCTGTGGTGTGTATCCTATTGTGTGTGTGTGTCCGGTGGTGTGTGTCTCGTTGTGTATGTGAGATTATCTGTTTGTGTAAGTCCGGTTTATTTGTCTTTTCGTAGTATCTTTCTGCGACCCTTTGCTGTGCGTCTAAGTGCGTGTCTTTGTGTGTACCTATAAATGTCTGCGTCTATGTTTATACGCGTGTATTTGTTTCTGCGTGGCTGTAAATGTGTCTCTTCGTGTGTGTGCGCGTCCCTTGCGTGTCTCCGTATGTCTGGCTCTCTTCGCGCTTGTCCCTGCATGTCTCTCTCCCCGCGGCGTTGTCTGTGTGTGTGTCTGTGTGTGTGTGTGTGTCTGTCTGTATGTGTGTCTGTCTGCGTGAGAACGTCTCTCGCTTCTGTAGAGTGGCGCTCTGCGCATGCGCGCTCGCGCCTGGCCTCGCCGGTCGCGCGCGGCACGGGTTAAAGCGCGCGCGAGCGTGATGGTGGGGGGGGGGTACGTGGGCCGCGGGGGGCGGGGCCGCGGGGGGTGCGCGCGAGTGATAACGCCGCGCGCGATAATGGGTCTCGCGGCCGCGCAGCCATAAATTTCATGCGCAGCTTCGCTCCCCCGTATCCCCCCTCCTCCTCTCTCCCTCCCACATCCATTCCGCCCCACAGCGCACCCACACAGCCCGTTCTGTCTCTACCTCCTCTCCAAAACCAATCCTCCCACGGTGCGCGCGTACACGCAGACAGATGCGTACGCCGGTGTGGAGCATACCAACGCGTACGCGCCTCCGATTGGCACGGTTGGCTACGTACGGTGCGAAAGAAGTTCAACATACTTACGCGCGGCAGAATGGCCACGAACAACGTGCACGCGCTCACGCACGGTTCCGACAACAACCACCGTTTTGCCAATAAGTGGGGGTGACGTCAACACGGCGCTTGTGCCAGGCTAGGTGCACCTTGAGGATGTCGTGTGAAGTGTCGAAGGCTCGCTGCAGACAGGACGTGGTCACGGCACAGACCCCAAGTGCGATGCGTTGACAGACTGAGATGACCTGCAGATATACTACCTGTCGTTTCACACACATTCTCTACGAAGACATGCATACACACACCTCGCTCACAAACACGCGTGCCTGGCGTATTGAATGGTCACGGACCCCTGTGTGCGCGTGAATGTGTGTACCTGGAGAGCGGTAGTGTGGAGGTTAGCGCGCTGCCCTACGAACCCGCTGACCCGAGATCGGCTCTCGTTCACGGTCACCAAAGCCAGTGGCGATGAGTTTAGTTGCTTTACTGACATCCGTTATTTATACACAATAAATGTTTTTTTTTTTACATCATTTGCTGTTCTTTCGTTCACACTCGAGTCAAGCTAGGTTTCCATTGCGAGACAAAGTCATCTGCTCGTTGAGCTAGCTCTCATTTGGTTACAAAAAAATATATATACTTGTTATATATAAGTATAAAGTTTTGCTGGCTGTATGGCTGGCAGACAGGATGATACGTAAGGATGGAGCGACGGGCGACGGGGCTGATGTTAAAATATTTTATTTTAAAACATTAAAAACGTCAACAAATCCGCTCATTTTACTTTGATAATGGAGATTGGGGTCATAATAATTACTTTAGAGAGCATTACGAGGGCACCACTCCCCCCACACTCCTCTCTTTTTTCTCATTGAATTTCTATTCGCGAAAACACCCCCCCCGTCTCCTCCCTCCCTCCCCGCTGTGTGCGTCCATCGCCAAAACACAAAGGCTGTGGAGAGACAGATCGACGGGGCAGCTGATTGCGATCTGAGTGAGAATTTGTCAATTCTCCCCGCTGATTGCGATCGTAAACAAGAGTCCCCCCCCCACCACCACCACCCAAATATGCGGAAGGATGATGCCTCGTGTGAATTTCGACTCGGGAATTCACTCGAATGCAACTCCGGCGAGTCGATGTCCACTTTTAGTTTCATTTTTTTTTACATCCCACGGAGCGCTTTGTTAATTTCCCGCAGACATTAACAATGCGCCTGCTGGCGTGGGGTTTGGCAGCGGCGAGTGTGTATGGGCTTCCCCGAGGTTGGCTCAGCCTCAAATGAATTCCTAGTAAGATGTGTAAACACCACTGGGGAGACAAAGGCGGCCGGGCGTGGTATTGGCCACCCACCCCCTCGTGTGCCGTTACAGCCTTCATATGTGCTCGCTAACAGCACTTGCCCCAACAGTCCGTTAAGACTAAATGGGGGACCTTTGTCTGATTTGTGTGTTAGAGTAGCTCTCGTCTCGGCAACCCCTCCGTCCGTAAATGATTTCTACCAAAGGAACACAAAAAACTAACGTAGGTTCAAAGTGCACCTAGCCTGGCACAAAAACGACGGTCACGTCGCAATCATTTAGTGGCGAGCACCAGCTGTTATTGTTGTTGTGTGCCAGAGCGCCTGTGTGTACGTCTTTTTGCACATGTGTGAGTTAGTAAGCCTGCCTAGAGCGTGCGTATGTGTGATGTGACTCTGTCCGTATGTATCATGTTCGGCTGTGTGTCGTGTGTGCGCGTGTGCGCGGTTTAAAATTGCGCGTCTGTTGCCGCGACCCCGCGTGCGCTATCGGGTTCCCGACCCCCCCCCCCCGCCCCCCATCCCCTTCCTCCAACCTCCAGGAGCCCCCCTCCCCGCGCTCCCCTCCCTCGCCTTTCTCCGGGCGTCACGCGTTCGGCGCTCATTCAATCAGCCTCTAATTGGCGCCGGTTCCCGACCCGACCCGGCACCCCCTCCCCTTCCCCCAGTCACCCCCCCCAGCTCACCCATCCACAATCTGATTGCTCCGCTTCCCTCTGCGTTCCAATTCGCATTCCCATTCGATCCGCGCGGCTCCCGCGTCGCCCCCCCCCCACCGCCTGAACAGCGACGCACGCGCGCACGCGCGCGACACGGCGGACTCCTGGGAGACCCAAACGCTGAAACCCACGCGCGCCGCATACCTCACGCGATCACGCGCGCCCTGGCGGCCGATAAAGCGGTACCAGAGGCCAGGCGTCGGGTCGAAGATGACGCGGCGCGGTCTCATCATAGCTCGCCGGGGGAGGGCTGTGTGTGCTGACGAGTATGCGCGTATGTGTGTCCGTACATACGCACATACTCGTCTGTACATGACCGAGTCTGTGAGTATACGAGCGTGCGGACATGTGTGTACATGTGAGTGCCTGTGTGCTATGTACAGCAGTGGTCAGCGCAATTCGCTACGAACCCGGTGAACCCTAGTTCGATTCCCGCTCACGATCAATATATCTGAGCCGGTCCTAAGCCTCACCTAGGTCGACTCGGCATTAACGTTAGTACCTGGTGCGGTGTATTAACATCAGCGCCCAGGAGACAAAGGCGGTCCGGCATGGGTGCTGGCCATCCACCCCCTTGTGTGTCGTGTTGGCCCTCATAGGGGACTCGCAAACAGCACTTTCCCCAAAGGCTATACGGGGTAGGCAGGTGGTGGATCTTTGCCTCTGCATGAGTGCGTGTATGCGCGCGTGCACGTGTGTGTGCACGTGTGTGTATTCCCCCCCCCTCCCATGCTCCCCCCACCTCCCTCCCCACGCCCCGCGCGCTCTCTTCGGGGAGACAATTAGCGCCGCGCGTCTCCGGACGCGCGCGCGCGACGCGACGGGCGAAGACCCCCCGCGCGCTATTTTCGTCTCCTGCCAGGTACACAAATAAATAAATAACAGCCATCTCGTGATCCCCTCCCCGCGACTGGCTAAATAAATAAATAAACACTTACATACCCCGGGCGTATCGGCCTCGCGTCAGTCAACGTTAGTCGCACGAATGTCATCGGGTACGCGCGCCGAGGGGTTCGCGCAGAGTACGCGGGGTGTTTTTTTAGGGGTCGTCCGCTAGGGGTTTGGAGGCACCACCTTAATCCTTCACGTGATCAACATTGCTGTGCACCTCGACCCCCACAACTCCATCGAGCCGAGGCCAGGCGCTCACCTGCGCGGCGCGTGGAAACGAACATTCCATGCAGGAGACTCGTCGAAACACACGACTGTGAAAAGGACAAGTCCTTACAACACGACAGAAACAAAACACACACACACCACAGACACACTGACACACACCAACGTGACGGACACACAACACGTACACGCGGAGCTACAAAAATACGCACACGCAAACACCACGTGCTTGTAAAGTCTAAAAACACTCATACCAACACCGGCGCTCACGAAACTCTCTCCCAAGCGCGAGCACACACGAACCTCTCCCCTAACTCACCTCTCGTCTCGCACGGCTACCGCTGGACTCCCTCGTTCAGGAGCCTCACAGCGCGAAAACAAGAGGCAGAGGAAATGAAAGGGACGCGATCCGGCGGGGGTGGTAGTCGTGTAGAGGGCGAGAGAGGGGTGGTGGGGAGGAGGAATGGGGGGGGGGGAGCCTGTACTATGGGGGAGGTTGAGCGGGAGAGGCGAGGGAAGCCGATGGCGGGGGGGGGAGGCACGGGCACGCGCGGCGCACAAAGGACGCGGTTTGCAAGCCCCCCGCGCTCCCGCGCCGCGCTCCATAATGAACGGCGATAATTATCCGCGCGCGTGACAGGGCGGCGAGTGCGCGCACCCGCTCTGCCGAGACGGAGCCGCGCACGGCAGGGGGAGGGAGGGAATGGGCGCGGGGGCTTGTGTTGGGGAGAGGGGGTGGGTGGCAGGGTCGGTGGAACGCGAATTCCTGACCCGCGCTCCTGGCCGCGTGGGGCTACGGGACGCGGCGGGCGGGCGAGTGGGGGGAGGGAGGAATGGTGGGGTACGACCAGTGGGCTTGGTGGAGGGGGGAGGGAGTATGGAAGGAATGGAGGGGCACGGAGAGAGGAGGGGGCGGGGGGACCTCCCCAGACCGAGCGGCCGTGCCCCGGCGCGCGCGGTCTCGCGTGGGCGGGAGTGGCGGCGTCGGCGCCCCCGGGTTTCGAACTCCCGACGCAGCGCAACGCGGCACCGCGCGGACACGCGGACGCGGGGTTTGTTTTCGTTTTTTAGGCGGGGAGGTAGCTGCCGCTGGCGGTGGGTGGGGGGTTGAAGAGATTGGGAAGGAAAGCGGGCGAGGTGAGGAGGGGGGTACGGAAACTCTGCCTCCGTATGCATCGAGTTTCCCTCCACGACTGACGCCCCTGCCGCTCGCGGCGCGGGTTAATGTCGTTTCCGCGGGGCGGCTATAAATACGCGCGGCGCCTGGGGCTCGCTTCCTTAAGGAGGCTCCTCTTAACGAGCCCCCCCGCCGCCCCCCATCCCCGGTCTCCTCTCACGGGGTGGGGGTTAAGGGCGGGGGGGGCTGAGCAGAGGAGGCTGTGGGTGGCTCGGCTCACGGGGGGGGGGGGGGGGGCTCCTACAGAAGACCAGAACACGAGATGTGCATGGTTGCACTGAAAGAACTGACATGATTGTTTGAATTAATTTACAAATACAATTCAAGTGGAAATTATATTTACACAGGATCTTCGCCATCAACATAATCCTCGATAGCACTGCCTCATAACAAAAGCATGTATAGCGGCGGTGACCGACGTTTCGGGCAGTGGTCCTTCTTGAGAGAATCCATTGTCCATGACTCTCATCATCATCATCGCCGTGGTTGGCGTCGCCCCTGTGTCTAGTCACGGCTGACGGTCGGCTTGCTGTCGAGTTATCTGCGAGTCGAGGGACTGCGGGGCAGTTGTTGTTGTTTTGTCCACCGCGGTCAAACGCGGCCTCTATATTTTTTACCGTTTAGCGTCAACGCGGATTCGTCAGCGAAACCGAAACGATAAAAGAGGCACACGGACACGTTACCCAACACCCCCAGCGCCGAACTCTCGACCCAGCGCGGGTGGTCACGATGTCACCTTGACATGCTCACCATGCTGGGAATTCTGTAAAAAAAAATACAACTCTGCTGGATGCAACCTTGGTTTCGCGTGGAATATTTTCATTTGCATCTAACTTGGGAGGATGTTTTAAGGCCACACAGTTGTTGTTGTTGTTGACGAAATGTGTTGGGTTGTTTTTGTTTCTTGTTCACTGCGCTTGTCCACCACTGCCAACGCTGCAGCATCACCAAAATAATTTGAGAATTTCAGGGCGCTCACGAGCGCTGCTTATTTTTTGCTCTGAGATCAGGAGATATTTTAAAATAAAGTAAATCCCAGGAGGGTGTGCACACACACACGCACGCGTACCCACGCGCGCGCACACGAGACAAACAAGACACCTGTCCACGGACAAAGATCCCCCGTATAAACAGACTGTTGGGGCAAGTGCTGTTAGCGAGTAGCATCTATAAAGGCCGGTAGCAGCATACGATGGGGGTCCGTGGTCGGCACCAAGGCCGCCCGTCTTTGTCTCCATAGCGGCGATGCTTGACACATCACATCAGGTACTCATTTGAGCCTGAGCCGACCTAGGGGAGGCCCAAGGACTGGTTCAGATAATCGTTACTGATGTTGGCCGTGAGGGGGAATCGAACTCGGATCGGCGATTTCGTAGCGCAGTGTTTTAATCGTTCGAACACTGCACGCGCACACACACGCACACACACGCACACACGCACACACACAATCACACACACGCACACACACGCACACACGCACACTGCCGACTTGTTTGTTTATTTCCTAATTTAGAGCCAGACCATGGGGGGTCGGAAGGACCTCGTCCGCTAGTGGGAGGGGGGGGATGTGGGTGGGGGTGAGGGTGGGCTTGCGTTGTCAACCGCTGATGAGTAGAGTCCCGCGTGGAAAGGACAGGCGGGAGAGATTGTGAGTTAGGGGAGTAAACAGGAGAGCGAGCCAGCGGGAGAGAGAGCGGCTGGAAGAGCGAGCGAGCGGGAGAGTAAACAGGAGACGGAGCGAGAGAGCGGGTGGAAGAGCGAGCGAGTTTAGCGGGCGAGCGTCTTCTTATCTCGTTGCGTTCACGCCGAGCGGCGTCAGCCCTGATTAAAGTGGCGACCGCTTAAGCCCCCACCACCCACCACCAACCATCAACCACTACTCCCCTCCCGGCCTCCACAACCACCTCCCTCCGTTACCACGGCACGAGGATAAACCCGCACTGTACCCCCCACCACCACCACCACCTCCCCGACCTCCCTCCAACTCGCCACCCCGCCCCCCGGAGCGCGCACAAAGACTCCCTGCGGGCGCGGACCCCACGGATAATGAAACGCGCCGCTTGGCGTCTCGCGTTGCTGCTGCTGCTGCTTCGGGGTGGGTGGGGAGGGAGGGAGGCAAGCGGGGGAAGGCGTGGGGGGTGTCGCGTTTTCCAATTGACCCCGAAACCCCTCCCTCCCTTCCACCCACCTACCAACCCACCCCTCCCGCGGGGCACAGAGGCCACCGCGGCGGGGGGAGGATGCAGGGGGCGGGTGGAAGCAGCGCGTGTTGGCGATGAGGTAGTGGTGGGGGGGATACACACACATTGACACACACATTGACACACGCATTGACACACGCATTGACACACGCATTCACACACGCATTGACACACGCGTTGACACACGCATTCACACACGCGTTGACACACTAAAAACAACTAAGATCCCCCGCGCAGCCGTGAGACTCTGCGGGCAAGTGCTGTTCGCGAGCAGCGCCTATGAAAGCCGGCAAGGCACACGAGGGCGTGGGTGGTCAACACCACGCCCGACCGCCTTTGTCTCGCCGAGGGGCGATGTTGACACATCTCACCGGGTATGCATTTGAGGCTGAGTCGACCTCGGAGAGGCTCATTACCGGGTTCGTAGCGCAGTGCGCTAACCACTGCGCCACCGCTCCCCGCACGTTAAAATTCACATACACTTCATACACACTGACATGCAGGCGGACATAATGGAATACACACATCCACGATTACTGACAAAACAAACACATACGAGCATTGAGATTTACATACACGTTGACATACGTCCGACTCATAACATAAACACACGCGCAAGCACATTCACACGTATAAACAGACGCACACACACATAGGTACATCACACAGAGACACGTACACAACCACGTACACACACACACACTGCACACACACAGGGAAGCGCCGTGTGCGGGGTGGCCTCGCGTGCATTATTTGGAGTATATAGCCCCCCCTCTCACTCCTCCCCCCCCAACATCCGAGTAAGTTTTGTTGAGCTGTGAATAAGAATTCAGTGTCCGCACGCGTCGTCAGCGAACACGAGGGGGGGGGGGGCGGGGGTTTGGGGGGGGCGTCCCCATCGGCGGATTTTTGGACCAAAAGGCGAGCTCGGCGCGGGGGGAGGCGAGGAACGGAGAGGAGAAGGGAGAGAGGCGGGGAAGTCGTTGTGGGGAGCAGGCAGGCCTTACAATCGGGCGCTCCCGCAGACTCGAGCCCCCCAGCCGAGCGCAAAGAATAAAGAGCGGAGCCGCCGAGCGAGGAGCGTTGGAGGGAGGGGGGGAAACGGAGGAGCTGGCCCCTCCCCTCCCCCTTACCCCCCCCCCCGCATCCCTCCCACGCAGCTCGCCGTCCTCGCCCCGCTCTGCCGCGGTGACCCCAGGCGCGGCGCGGCTTTAATTCGCTCCGTCTCACGGCGGCGGCAGCAGCCTCGCGCTGCTGCCTGCCACACGCAGCTCGTTCGCTCGCTCCCACCCCTCCACTTCCCTCCCTCCCCGGCACGACCCCCCTGCCCTCCCCCCTCCCACCACTACCCCCCCCCCCCCCCCTTGAGGCCAACGCGGGTTTTTCGTTTCGCCGCGCGGCGCGACTAATCTGCTTTAATGAACACGCGGGCGCGACGGCTGCGGCCTAACCGCCCCGCTCCCTCTTAGCCACGCACTCAGCGCACGCACCCCTGTCACACACGCACCCCTGTCACACACGCACCCCTGTCACACACGCACCCCTGTCACCCACCCCTGTCACACACACGCACCCACTCCTGTCACACACGCACACACTGCTGTCACGCACGGACGTAACCCTGTCACGCACCCACCCCTGTCACGCACCCCTGTCACGCACCCCTGTCACCCACCCCTGTCACGCACTCCTCTCGCGCACGCAATCTCGACACGCGCGCACCCTTTCGCATGCACACAAACACACGCGCGCGCTCCCTGCCACACACACACACACACGCGAACTCTCGACACGCGCCCTTACTCCGCAAATGCACTCACGATCACGCACGCACTCTCTCACGCGCACCGTGTCAAACAGCAGGGACCATTGTCACTCACGCGTTCCCTCCCGACTACCCCTTGACACACGCGCACGCACCACCCCTGGCCGTCTCTCGCACGCACTGTGTACCCACTCGCGCGCCCGCCCCCGCCTGTCTCTCACCCCGCCGCACTCTGCCCCCACCCCCGCCCCTGCCCACCATAAACTCGACGGGCGCTCGACTCGGCGAGTCTCGCTGCTTGTCTCTGTCTGACCTCGCTTTCATCTCCAGAGGCACAACGCACTCCCAACGCGCACCGCCAGCTCGGCACACACACACGCACACACACACATACGCACACACACACGCAGCAGACACACACACACACACGCACACACACACACGCAGCAGACACACACACACACACGCAGCAGACACGCGCACACACACACACCTCCCGCGCGTTACATCAAACGGATGTTATCAGACGTAATCGCAAACCCATTATCATCACCCGCGAGGAGTTTGGAATCTGTGACATCGACGCGTAATTTCGTGTGTGCGTGTGGCGGAATGTGTGTGTGTATCCGTGTGTACGTCGTTGTGCACACTAAAACATTATATCAGGCTGCTTGATAACATGTGTACACGCACGCGCGTTTGTTTACGTTCGTCCGTGTTGTGTGAGTGGCGGGGAGCGATGGCGAAGTGGTTAGCGCACTGCGATAGGAACCCCGCGACCCGAGTTCGATTTCCACTCACGGCCAAATTGCAGCGACGGCTATTATGTGAACCGGTCCTGGGCATCCCGTACATCGATTCATACTTAAATGAGTACCTGTTGCGGGTGTGTAATACATAATCAGCACTGGGGAGACAAAGGCGGCCGGGCATGGTGCTGACCATTCACCACCTTATACACCAGCATTCAGAGGTGCTCATTGTACTTGCCCCAACAGTCTGTCACAGATATACAAGGGGGCGGGGATCTTTGTATTGTGTGTCAATGTTTACAGGCAGATGTGTGTGTGTGTCACTTGCGTAGCAGTTCTGTCAAGGGTACCGCGAGACCTCCACACAAGGACCCCTTTTTAGCGACGCCACCACCCACCCGGCCGCTCGCTTCC